TAATGCATATTTCTGACCCAAATCGATTACTAAGACTTTATTTTCTAGCTATGCAGATATCTATTGACTTGCTTAATAAGAGGCGAATTTAACATGTCATATGACAGGCGACAATAAAATTAAGAGTTAATAAAAAGATTTTCATTGATTTGTCATCTTAAACCTAAAATGTATTTATTCATTTTTCGTTTTTTATATTTGTTGATTCAAATGTATGATTTTGTTTAACATTTTCAGAATGTGATACTAATGAGCGCAACCGCATATTCGATCGGCTAGTTGAAAATTCCAACATGCTCAACAGTTGGTTTGGCGCAGATAGATTGCAGATTTCTACCCTTACAAATGCTCCAATTAATTTTAAGGGCTCTAATGAAATATCAGTCGCCACAAAATCTTATGGATCTAATATTGCTCGATTTCAGCTGCCAGAAACAGTTCAAATTACATTATATGATGATGGAATCTGTTTGGCTTCGGGTCCTTTTCGACCCTTTATTGATCCATTAACTCTCACTTTTGTTCAGGTGTGTTGGAAAACATACTTATTTATCGTGTTAGTTACGATCTCATTTACCTAGTGGTCTCTTAAATCTCATTCCTCATTCCTCTTAATAGGTTTTCATAATATATTTTATCCATATATACTATTTACGCATATATACTATTTACATACTATTTACGCAATTTTTATAAGAAATCATATAGACATAGATTAAATTTCTTATACACGAGTAGAAATCGACATTGACTACTTATGCCTATTAAATAACGAGTCAGCACTTTGTGATGCCAAGTTTAAACTAACTTATGAGGAGTTTTTCATTTGAATTAAAAGTGGCCTTATAGGAACCTACTTATCTCTTCATAATATCTATATATATATCTATATATAAATATATATATGATTGTTGACCTTCCTTAGCCAAGTATATAGAAGATTCTCGAAATTCTTTTATTTTATATTTTGGATTAATTTTTGTTGTGATGCCTTCTTTAATCAATTGTGCATACGATGATTCATTTGTTCTCTTACACTCTTTACATTTTAGGACATTTTAGATGGCTACTATCCATCTGAATTTAAGCAGTCATATCCGGATGGTGTACTTATCGAATTTATTGATAAGCGTGATGTATCTTTTCTGGAAAGCCATCGACAAGCCACGAAGTCTTTTAATGGCTCCGGATATCTTCTCGGAAGTTGTCAGCAAGGGAAACCCTCTTCAAACCCTCTTTACGAAAGCTCAATAAAAAGGCAAATAGTTCCTGTCAAGGAATAAGTAGTGCAGCTATTTTTTAATATTTAGCTAGCTTGGCTTGTTAACCAATATTCTCAGTAGAAAATACTCTTATTCGTATGATCATAATCGTTTCTTTGATAAAAATTTGATTTTAATTGTTTGGAACAATTGAACTCAGGCTAAATCATTTAAACTGAAAAGTAACCCAAATATACTTTATAATAAAGTGAATATTTGTCAACTACTTTTTATGGATCATTTGAATTCTTCGAGTTAAGCTTAGACATTTGTGTCTAGCTCTTTTTTACTGCCAGGTTGTTTACATTACATACCTAGTTTAATTGAGTTCTCATTAATACGTGTATTTACGAATATCATATGCATTTGCTCACTACTGGTGCAAGGGCAGATATGCTTATCAGAAAAAACTTATTTTTGCTTCTTAATAGATTTTTAAACTACCAGTAGATCTTCAATGAGTATATTATTTGGGCAAATTTAAATACTGATACTTATCACCCTAAGCGAATAAAAATTAATAGAGTTCTTATTAAAAAAACGTATTCAGGGTGCATAGTGAAACATTTTTGGTATGCAAATAGAGTAGAACTGGAGGAAAAAGATCACGGAATAAGTAAAGCTTGAATGAAGGATGGATTTCTTTATCCTTTACTTTTACATTGCCGCTTGCAACAACTTGTTTGTTTTCTTATCCTCTGATTCTCTTGTACAGGGCGTAAATATTGTTTTATCTTATCTTAGGCCAAATTTTGTAGATAAATCATTTATTTCTTGGCGATGCTACATAACTGGATTAATTTGTTTGCTATTATGATGAAATTACTGTTCCCTCAAATTGCATATAGTGTTAGAAAAGTTTATAAAGCAAATATTTGGTTAATTAAGCTGCGATTGCGAGCTTGTCGTTATCTTGATATTTCGGCTAGTGATTTTATAGGATGCTTTACTTGTAAATAGTTAAGTAATTTTACGTTGATACGGTGTTTGTAAGAAAAATCTATTTCGAAAATCGTAGTTTGTGTTTACAGTGACGAACAGAATAATAAATCTTTTGCATATCCTTTAACTATCAACATCCCGCCTAAACGACTCTAAAGGTTCCATTAAATACAAAAAGTGTTCAAATTATCCTACCAAAAGTTATCTTTCTATTATTCAGGCATTTTGTTTAACTTGTCTATTTAATTCTCATGGTTATAGGCAAGAGGCAAATTGTTCGAATGAGATTTCTCTACTTTCATGTAATCCGAGTTCTTTGACTGTCAACAACTTATTGCAACGCTTG